AATGTAAGCAGAGGGGCCAGACCTGCTGAATAGGGATAAAAAGGGAGCAGCCCTCCTGCGCTCTGTGCTTGCTTGCTAGATTTTGGCTGATGGCATACCCTTCTGCAGAAATGAACCTTGCCTTGCTGAGTTCCTTTTTAGCATATGAAACACTACTGTATTATACACTTAAAACCAGATGGTAAATGTTACATTTGCTACAAGCAAAAATAAAAATAATACAGACAAATAAAATGTAGACTTACTGCCCTTCAAATTACTATAAACCCTGAAAGTAACACAAAAGGCATGAAAGGGAGCCATGATGGGTCATAAAGGCGAAGCCTTGAGACTTTGGGATTGGAGGAACAGCATACTGACAGAACATCTTACTACCTACCCAACAGGTGGCTCAGCTTCACCATTCCCTGACCTGGAAACAGAAGCTATCCCAGGTAGACTCTTTCCTCCTTGAGATCAAACAGAAACCCTCAAGGACAATAGCTGAGCTCAGCACCCCCTGCCTGGAGGATCCAACACCTAGCACTAGTCTTACCAGACCTGGCAGATAGCAACACAACTAAGCCAGGTGCCCATGCTTCACACCTGTAATCTGAGATACTCAAGGAGGCTGAAATGTAAGGATCACAGTCTGAGGCCAGCCCAGCAAGAAATTTTGAGAATTTGCCAATTAAGCACCAAAAAGCTGGTAGTGGAGCTGTGGCCCAAGTGGTAGAGTGCTAGCTTTGAGCAAAAAAGTTCAGGGACAGCACCCAGGTACTAAGTTTAAGCCCCAGAACTGGCAGGGAAAAAAATCTGAATGATATCCTTTAAGAATGACCTTGCTGCCAGGCGCCAGTGGCTCACGCCTGTAATCCTAGCTACCTAGGAGGCTGAGATCTAAGGATCGCAGTTCAAAGCCAGCCTGGGCAGGAAAGTCTATGAGACTCTTATCTCCAATAAAGCACTAGAAAACCGGAAGTGGCGTTGTGGGGCTTGCCTTGAGCTGAAGAGCTAAGGGACAGCACCCAAACCCAGAGTTCAAGCCCACGACCAACAACAACAAAAAAAGAATGACCTTGCTACAAAAGGCCCAATCCATGGAGCCTCTTTTTCTCTGTAGACATGAGTCTCCCCTCTCCAACCCAGAGATGACAGAGCCTTGTTACACTAGCACCTGACCAAGGAAGCAAGGCAGATCCTGCCATTACAAATATCAGTCCAGGGAGCCTCTTCATCCCCATGGACCTGGATCAACACTAATGTTCAGTCTGGGAAACCCACTCTATTATTTAGTCCACCAACAAGGACCTACAGAAGTCCCAGTAACACAGAGAAACCAAACACATCAAAATAATGCTGAAAAGGATCTAATAAATGCTCACTAGAACTAGAGGCCATAAAATTGTGATCTGCATGCTAACCTAAACAAGGTGACTGTTAAAAGATTTGAAAAATAAACTGGGTTTGGTGTCTCAAACCTATAATCCTAGTTGCTTAGGAGATTAAGATCAGGAAATTCTTCTATATTTTCCTATGGATTGCAGAGTCTGAGTTTTTGTTATTGGTAGGTTGGTTGTTTTAGTTCTGTGTTGAGACAGCATCTCATTTTGTATCATTGAATGATTTTGAACTCTCCATCGTCCACTTCACCTTACCTTTTTTTTCCCTAAATCTTTCTGATATTTTTTTTTTTGAGTCCAGTCGTGGGGCCTGAACTCTGGGCCTGGGCGCTGTCCCTCAGCTCTTCAGCTCAAGGCTAGCGCTCTACCCCTTGAGCCACAGCGCCACTTCCGGCTTTTTTCTTATGTGGTGCTGAGAAATCGAACCCAGGGCCTCGAGCATGCAAGGCAAGTGCTCTACCACTGAGCCACCTTCCCAGCCCATCTTTCTGATATTTATGCTGAGCCACTTTACCAGCCTTGGTTTTCTTGTTGATTATTTTTTAGATAGGATCTCACTTCCTGCCCAGGGGCACACCTGTGTATAAATGCCTGTGTTAGGCTTTCTCATTGTATGGAGACTTCCCCATCATTGCTCCCAGCTCTCATTTAAGTAAAAGTCTCATGAACTGCCTAATCTGTGATCTGCCTAATCTCAGCTCCCACTTCTGCTTCCCAAATGGTTAGAATCACAGGGATGAGCCACTGGTACCTGGCTCTTAGTTTTATTTTTGCACTCTAAGGGGAGGGGAGAAACAGAGAGAGGATGAGGGAGAGTGGGATGAAGGGAGAGAGGAAAGGATAGAGGAGGGAGGGAGAGAGGGAGACAGATAGACAGACAGACAGACAGACAGACAGACAGACAGACAGACAAACCCTGTCTCCAAAAAGGGACAAAACAAGGAAGGAAGGAAAGAAGAGGGGAGGGGAGCCAAAGGATGAAGAGGGGAGGGAAGGGGAAGGACGTTGGTTTGGTTTTGATTTTATTCTGGCCAGCGGGTTCATTGGGTCCACTGGGGAAAGAAAGGGATACAGTGTGGTTGAGGAAGCAGTAGGGATGATTATGGAAAATATAATAAGCCAGTTACAAAAACACACATACTAAACAATCGTACTTGTTTGATTGCCTTAGTCAAATTTTAGGAGATAGAAAATCAAATGGTGGTTGCCAGCCTTGGGAAAGAGAGGTCTAGTTTCAGTATAGTTTCATTTTTGCAAGATGAAGAAAGCATTGGAGATGAGTTGTACAATGATGTAAACATATTACTGAACTGTACATGTAAAATGGTTAAGGTGGTAAAATTTCTGTTACATGTATTTTACTAGCATTTAGGGGAAATAGCTAGAAGCTTTCTGTTACATTTAACGTGCCCAACTACCCCTTGACATGTAGATGCACTTATAGTTCCCCTTTTCAGATGAGGAAACTCAGACACAGAGATACAATATATTTTTTAAAAGAATCCCGTTATGGGGCTGGGAAGGTGGCTCAGTGGTAGAGCGCTTGCCTTGCATGCATGAGGCCCTGAGTTCAATTCCTCAGCACCACATAAGCAAAAAAGAAAAAAAGCCGGAAGTGGCGCTGTGGCTCAAGGGGTAGAGCGCTAGCCTTGAGCTGAAGAGCTGAGGGACAGCGCCCAGGCCCAGAATTCAGGCCCCATGACCGGACCCCACTCCCCTCAAAAAAAAAAACAGAAAAAAAAGAATCCCATTGTATCTTAAATCATTATTTTTTTTTCTTATGCCTATTTTGAGTTGTTAACTCTAGGTGCTCTACCACTGAGCCACATCTCAACCTCTGGCTTTTTGCTGTTTAACTAGAGATAAGAATTTACTGGTTTTGTGTGCCAGGGCTGGCTTAGAACCATGATCCACAGATATGCCCCCTGAGGAAATAGGATTATAGATGTGAGCCACTGGCTCTAGACTCTCACACTTTAAAAACAGAACAAGTTGCTGGTTGTTCATGCTGTAATCTTAGCCACTCAGGAGGCTGAGATCTGAGGATCACAGTTCAAAGCCAGCCTGGGCAGGAAAGCCCGTGAGACTCTTATCTCCAATTAACTACCAGAAAACTGGAAGTGGTACTGTGACTCAAAGTGGTAGAGCACCAGCCTTGAGCTGAAGAGTTCAGGGATAGCACCCAGGCCCAGAGTTCAAGTCCCATGACTGCCAAAAAATAAAAACAGAACAGGACTGGGAAGGTGGCTCAGTGGTAGAGTACTTGCCTTGCATGCATGAGGCCCTGGGTTCCATTCCTTACCACCAAATAAGCAGGAAAAAAAAAAAAAAACACGGGAAGTGACATTTGTGGCTCAAGTGGTAGAGCACTAGCCTTGAGCTGAAGAACTGAGGGACAGTACCAGACCCAGAGTTCAGGCTCCACGACAGATACAAATAAATAAATAAATAATAAAAAAACAGAATAAAAAAACTGCAACATTATTGTATATTTTTTATTTTTGTTAGATTTACATGTATATAATGAAGTTTGATCACACATCTCCCCATTATCATTTTTGTCACTTTTACTCCTCTTCCTCATTCTAAAACGTGTAGCAATTGTCTTTGTGAATGTAGCTTTTTTTTTTTTTTTTTTTGGGTCCGGTCGTGGGGCCTGAACTCTGGGCCTGGGCGCTGTCCCTCAGCTCTTCAGCTCAAGGCTAGCGCTCTACCACTTGAGACACAGTGCCACTTCCGGCTTTTTTTCCCCTGCTTATGTGGTGCTGAGGAATCGAACCCAGGGCCTCATGCATGCAAGGCAAGCACTCTACCACTGAGCCACCTTCCCAGCCCCAAATGTAGCTTATTTGTCATAACATGATGATCTCCATTTTTATCCATTTCCCAGCAAATGACACATTTGCACTCTTTTTTATGGCTGAATAATACTTCCATTGTTTAAAATCCTATTTTCTTTTTTTTTTTTGGGGGGGGGTCTGGTCGTGAGGCCTCAACTCTGGGCCTGGGCGCTGTCCCTCAGCATTTCAGCTCAAGGTTAGTGCTCTACTGCTTGAGCCACAGCGCCACTTCTGGCTTTTTCTGTTTATGTGGTGCTGAGGAAACAAACCCAGGGCCTCATGCATGCAAGGCAAGCGCTCTACCACTGAGCCACCTTCCCAGCCCACATCCTATTTTTTTTTTAGCCATCTATCCAGGGATGGACTGCAAGGCTAATTCCATAACTTGACTACTGTGAATAAGGTTCCCAATCAACATAGACATACATATATACATACAAACATACATATATATATATATATATATATATATATATAATTAAATAGTTGGCAAACCACCACTTAAATGATTCCATGAAGACTTTGTCACTTCTATACCCTATCACTCAAGAATCCGCAGCAGTCTCAGAGCTCTGGGAAGAATGAATTCTGCCCTGCCTAAATGTAAGTACTGTGATACTGTAATTACACAATTACTATAATTATCAGCATTCATGTATGCATATTTTATACATATACCTTTAGCCCGTTTAGTTTTTAAATACACAATCTTTGTTTTTTGTGGTAAATGCAGTTAAAATATGTTTGTTAAATAAAACGTATATATAAGTATATGAACATGTATATGTTCACGTAATTCTTCTGGAGTGTTTTTGAGTTATTTTTTAACCTGAAGGTAATCTTAATGCCATTCAATTCACAAATATACTCATTTAGATACCCAGACCAGAGCCTCCTCCACGCCTGTGGGGAGAGCGGCAGAGTCACCTCTGCCCTAGGATGGACGCGTGGCCTCGGAACCACGGCCATCCGCGCCGGGACCAGGCCTGCGGAGAGCCGGAGCGGCCCCACGGAGGACCAGGTGGAGATCCTGGAGTACAACTTCAACAAGGTCAACAAGCACCCAGACCCCACCACGCTGGGCCTCATCGCGGCCGGAGCCGGCCTTTCGGAGGAGGAGACCCAGAAATGGTTTAAGGAGCATCTGGCCCAGTGGCGGCGGTCTGCAGACCTGCCCTCGGAGTGTAGATCTGTCACCGACTAGGGAGATGGTGGACACTGGCAGCCTCGCTCCACGAAGACCATCTGCTGACTACCTGCTGTTTCTCACCTCAGCTTAATCAGCCCATTTTGATTTTTCAGGGCCGTGTCGTAGGCTAATCTACTATTTAACACAATGTTGTAGTTTTTGTTCAATGTATGTGACTAGAAAAGGACATGTGAACAGGAAACTCGCACACAGCTTCCCTGTCATGCAATGGCTTTGCCAGGAAAGGGGTGTGATGTACATTTACTTCCCCTTGACAGATGTGTGGAAACCAACGATGTAAGTTTGCGTTTCAGTCTGCATTTCAGAGCAAGCAGAGCCTCTGCTGACAAGATCAAAAGATGGAGAGTCCAAGAAGTTTCCTCATGAATCTGCTTCCCTGAGTTGTATTCACCACACTTTATTTAACAGAGATGCTCTGGTGCGGACACTGAAATGCACTTGAATGATTCACGTTGCATAAAACAGCATCTTGGCTGGAGAGTTGCAGTCATTTGGAAATAACCCTATTAGGCTAGAAGATAGAAACTCCAATGGGCTGAAAAATAAGTCACTTAGAAAATGACAGGATTATTTAAATGCCTTTGTTAAATTTATTTTACTAAATAAAACGAACTGCTTTTTTTCTCTAAAAAATAAAACAAAATAAATAAATAAATACCCAGTCCTACATATCTAAAAACACACTGCAAACATACAAGTATCTGGTCTCTCCATGTCAGCCTGTATTCATATCATGGCTTGGAAATGAGAAGAATCTCTCTGGTTTTTTTTTTGTTTTTGTTTTTGCTTTTTGTCGGTCATGGGGGCTTGAACTCTGGGCCTGGGTGCTGTCCCTCAGCTCTTCAGCTCAAAGCTAGCATTCACTTGACACACAGCACCACTTCTGGTTTTGTGGTGGTTAACTGGAGTCTTAGGGACTTTCCTGCTTTGAACCACGATCCTCAGATCTCAGCCTCCTGAGTAGCTAGGATTATAGGTGTGAGCTTGTAATTCTCAGCAACTGGCTGAGAATCTCTTTAAACTGCAAGTTTGTAGTTGTTTCCTTACAAAATAGGAATGAACAATGATCTTTACTCATTAACTTACAAAGAACCACCTTAAAAACTCATTTTGTTTAAGTTTCTGAACTAAACTGTAGAAAAAGTTGGATGCCAGTGTTTCTTTCCTTTTTTTTTTGGTCCGGTCATGGGGCCTGAAATCTGGGCCTGGGCACTGTCCCTCAGCTCTTCAGCTCAAGGCTAGTGCTCTACCACTTGAGCCACAGCGCCACTTCTGGCTTTTTTCTTTTTGCTT